CTAATTACTGCATAGAAGTGTACAGGGGAGAACTGGATTACACTCCAGTTAGGATGATTGGAGAGAAACTGGAGCTGAGCAGGGTGAAGGGTGCAGGGAACAGAGGGATAACAATACTTAACTAGTAGTTGGTTGTCAGGGTGATTTAAGAAAACTTACCAGAATGAAAATAGCAGCTTGGGTAAAGATTTGAGAATGGCAAGAATCACGTGAGATTTATCAGTATTTATAGGGTCCCAAGATGATTGACCTTGGTCAGTATTTTTTGTGGCCATTATTCCTGTCAGGCAAACTTGGCACTCTTCAAAGGGGGCTATGATCCAGGCAGGAGGAGTTTTGGGGCACATTTCCCAGGCAACAGGCATTCTGAGGGACAGTTAGGGAGTCCCTCATCATCCCAGCTTACTCTGCTTGAACCCAGGACAAAAAGGCCCTGGATTATCTCAACTCACTGCTCCAACATGCAAAATCAGAAGGCACCAGCTTGTCCCAGTGGATTGCACTTGTAGGTAAAACAAGAACACAATGTTGACTGGGGAGGACATTGCCACGTGGCCCCAGGGGGGCTGCACCACCACAGGGGCCAAGCCAGCCCGCCCTGCTTCTCCAGCTCACAACACCTTCCCTTGGCACCCATTTAAGCCCATCTCCATCTGACCAGCTCTCTCCCACCCATGCTGCCATGGCACCCTTCAGTGCAGGGCTGGCATTTTCTGGGAGGGAGACATGTTTGTTGTGTGCTTGGGGAGCAGATTTTAATATCATTTGAAGCTTTCCAACAAATATTGGATTTGAATTCCAAATATGGGTTGAGCAGGCTAATTACCAAAAATGTACAAAATTAATGTGAGAGCCACAGTTTGATCTGAGGCAAATAAATATAAATGATATTTATTTAATATTCCCCTGCCCTTTAAACAAGGGAAGTTTGCCATATTCAGGCAAAATAGCTTATTATAAAATAGCTGAAGCTGTGACCTATCACAGATGCTGCAGATTACACAGAGCAATTAAAATATCACATCAGACAGGCCCCATCAGAAACAGGCTTTAATTAATGGGTGCTTAGTACCAGGTTTCCCCCAGGCCCTGGGCCAGGACCAAGGCAGGGTGCACTGCTGGGGCTGCCCACCCACCAGTCCAGCACCATCTGTTCTTCCCCACAACCTCTCAAATGTAGTTGGAGGGGTGATGAACGTGCCAGTGGAGCTCACAGCCACACAGCCTGCCCAGCTCTGGAAACTGAGTCCCCTTCTTTCCACACCTTCCCCAGCCCCCTGGGATTCACTGGCCCCACTCAAGGTCCCTGGTCTCTGTGTGGCTGAGCCCCTGCAGAGACCCACAGAAGGAGGGAGGACCAGTCTTCTTTTAGAACATTTTCCTGGAGGAGAAAGCCCTCGCACAGGCACGAACATGGTGGGAGAACATTTCTATGGCCCCTGCCAGGCAACCAGGACATTGCAGAGCCCATCTGAGCTACCCCAGCTGCAGAATGTGCTTTTACAAAGTTCAGTGAGTCCTGTCTGCTGCAGTTCACTGCTGGAAGATCTCTGCACTTGCCACACCAGTGACAGGGCCAGCATAAGCATCCTGTATCCCTTCTCCTCTTCCACCACTGCCCAGAGCCCAGGCAAGGACCACGCTGCTTCTGCCATGTCAGCAGGCATCATGGGCAAGGGACAAAGACTCCCACCAGAGCAGGTCTGAGGCTCCTTGAAGCTGGATTTCAAATGATTGCTTTATAGAGTCACCAGATGGTTTGGGCTGGAAGGGACCTTCAAGATCATCTAGTTCCATGGGCAGGGACGCCTCTCACTAGACCAGGCTGCTCTAAGCCCCACCCCACCTGGCCTTGAACACCCCCAGGGAGGAAATTTTAACTCACCTTTGGGTGTCTGGGCTGACAGTCTCAGTTTGTTTGGAGATTGCACTGTATTCAGAGACTGCAGGGTGACCTCCTTCTTTGCCCAGCTTAACCCCACTCGGTGTGACGTTCCTGTGCCCCAGGAGCTCCGCGGGGACGCCGGCTGCTGCCACCCCAGCTGGCTGCCAGGCGCACGGTCAATCAGCCCAAGCATCACTTCATTCACACGCCAGTAAACCCCAAGGACAGAGTGGCTTTGATGGAAGTATTTCATTTCAGGCTGCCTTAATGAGTTAATTAAAAGCACCTCAGTATTTAGCTTGGTTACTCTCCTTTTTAGCAATTCTTCCTCACTTCTGATTAGCTGGACAACTCTTACCTGATTCCCTTCCCAATTTGTCTGTGTCCTCGCACTGTGGGACAGGGGTTGATGATCTGCTCCAATTCAGTCAGAAACAGCAAAGCTAATCAAAACAGTTTCCCCAATCAAGTCTATAACCCCCTAAAATTTCTTATTATCCAGTACTTCCAAAGACAGCCACCAAGACAACAGCCCTCTGTCCCAAACCCCAGATTACTGCACACAAACCGACCTTCACAGAGCACCAGCTTCTGTTTCAAGTTCCCTTTCTCTGCAGATTAAAAAAACAACAACAAAAGAACCAGCCCCAAACCCCACAGTATTTAAAAGACAAGTAAGCTGCTGGGCTAATAGCACTGATACTTGATACAAACTTTTTTACCATTATAGTCAGCAAATATTCTATTAGCTGTAGGTTTGCTTTTGTTCATGTTGAATCCATGCAAGAAAAAAAAAAGTCTATTTCTAAACACTCCTGGGAATAAAACAAATTAATTCGCTTTATGGACAGAACCTGTAGGCCAAGATCATCTTCTGCAATTAAAAATCTGTCAAGTTACAACTCCTTACAAGGCAGTAATTTTAAGCAGGCGTTTGCTGCTTCTCCTCTCAGTCCCATCACCCACTCCAGTGCCAACAGTATCAGGAGCTCAGTTGTGGGGAGAGCTCAGATCCCCATCACCACTGAGCACCAGACTCACCTCTTCAGGCACACACAAGGGCATGTTAAGCATTTTTTCAAACAAAAACAGAATTCTAGGATGAGACAGGAATTGCTATATTGCAGTTATATTTATGTTGTCACTGTAACATTTTCCCCTTTATCATCCACTTTGTGAACCAGCAGGCTTTTAAAGCCACTGGTTAAAACACAACTCATTCAGGATGAGGTTTGGTTAGGCTCAGTACTGTTAAACACAGTTCAGCACAGAACGTACCTTACACATTATTTTAAAATAGTTGTTATCAAATCCTAAAACACCAACAGAGCTCCACAGAAGCACTCTTGAGCCAAACCACACTGCCTGCCACAGCTGGATCTGCTGCTGAGGTACAGACTCCTGTCTGTCACCACCAAAGACAGTCCCTCAACAAAGAAAAGACCCTCAGAAACTCAAGCTCCTCATGTATGATTGTTTTTGGACAAGGGGGAGAGCAGGACAGGAAAAATCAATACAAGTGTGACACACCATGCAGAGCAAAACAGTGTCCAAGCACAGCATACAGCAATTAGCTTGCCATTTAAAATATGAGTTCAGTTTTTAATGTCACATTTCTTTGCCCATGGGCTTTTAAAAGTTCACATAAACAGAACATAGAGCATTTAACTCTATTAACCATGTTTCTCAAAGCAATCATGAGAAGTCAGTTTGCTCTGACAGAGCTGCATTTTCTACATTCTCGGGAGCAAACCCCATTTCCCGAGGCTGTTGAGTGAGGACTGATCTCCCTGCACAAACTGGATTTATATCTACTCACTAGTATGCACCAACCAACCTCTTCTCAGCCAGATTCACCCTGATCAGCTGAATCTTAAATGCACCCAACTTGCATGACTTCATCTTTTAAAATAATTATTTAAGGGGACTGTGATTAGCTTCATATTTGCTGTGCCCTTTAAAATAGAGGAAAACTTCACTCCAGCCTTTGGGCAGCAGCTGTGACAGCTCTCACTACTTCTGCATGAGGACCAAGGCTGGAAGGTTTTATAGTCCTGCTAATATTTCAGTTTTGGCATTGTGAAACACCTCCCACTGGCATCAGAGCTTCTCCTCCACATCCCGACAGTCTTATGGCAGAATTTGTATTTAAAAAGGAGACAGAAGGTCCAGTAAACACAAAGGCTGAAGAGGAACGACTTGGTGCAGTCTGAGGTTACAATTCAACTGATCTGAGATGTAATTGGCATGAAAAGGGGATGTTTTGTCACCTCCTCCAGGTCACCTCTTCTATCATGCCTGCTGACTGCAGAGGCAGAGGACGACTTAGCAAAGGTTTACAGAGGCAGAGTCTGTCTCCCAGGGCTCCATGCAAACAGAGGAGCAAACACAAGAGCAAACACACAAAGTTTCTATCAGTCCTGCAGTCCCTGGAGTGAGAACTGGCTGCAGAGAAAGGGCAGGAGAGATGCACCATCTCCACAAGTTAACAGGAGTCTAGCTCAACAGCAGCTCCTGCTTCTTGGTGAATCTAAACTGCTGTGCCCAGGCCAAACAAGCTCAGCTCCCAGCTACACCTTTTAAATCACTAACCAGGGAGCAGTGTCTAGATGAGACCCTGGAATCTCCCCTTCTGCAAAGAACATGCCAGGTTTTCCTTCACAACCCACACCTTCCAGGGGTCAAACTAGTGATCATTTCTACTCAAAGCAATCCACACCTCAGGGGGGTGCAGGGGTGGAAAGTAGTCACACTTGTGACCTAAAGACTTCCAGACCTGCAAATTTCTTACCCAGGTGAACATTTGAGATGGTGGCTTCACCAAAGCCACCATCATGTTCTGTCAGAGCTTTGTGGGAGGGACAAATGGCTCAAGAGAAAGATGTAAACATGACTGACTGCAGGAAGGCAACCCCTGAGCTTCTCAAAACCACTGGAGAAGCACAACACCAGCACCCCTCTCCAGCAGGCACCACAGTCTCTGTCCCTTGCCATCCAACCAGCAAGCAGGTAGAGAGTGCCTCACAAGCACAGGCAGAACACACCCTCCCACAGTGCCAGCTGGATCCAAATCTTCCTCATGCACAGAGCAATAAAGTGACCACACAGAGAATGATTTACGACCCATTGAGAAAACTATTGTTTATTTAGAAAAAAGGTTACACTGGTAGAATTCAGCAGATAAAAAAATTCTTTTTTTTTTTTTTTAAAAATGTCATTGTGAAACTTTTCAGACTAAAGTTCAGCAATACAAAGCTCCTGTAGCTGTAATTGGAGTTTAATTTATTTCAGTTTTGAAGAGAGCATTTCCAATCAGTCTAAAAACGACATGACAAACAGAAAGTGTGGCAGGGGACAACAGAGCACAGGTTTAGAATGGGAGGGGAGGGACAGGGTTCATTCTTTGTTTCTTTAAACAAGTCAACGTTGTACACAATATACAAATAATCCCTAAGCATTGCATGAAAACAGTGCTCCCACTCAACTTCTTTTTTTTTTTAGTCACTGATATTAAAAACAGGCCAAGTAATAAATAAAAACTGAGTTTAAATGAGGTAAATCCAAAAAGGTTCAATAACTGTTTATTTGTGGTTTTCAAACATCTATAAGAATGCATTTCAGATTGAAAGAATTACTAAACTCAGGCAGTATTTTCGACAACCTAAAGTGGAACTCTGTACACATGAAACCTCATTTGCACTATGGCAACTGTTTGTTTGCAGCACATTGTGCTAAAATATGGAACAGGTAACACTTTCAGCCAGGTACTGAAAATAAATGTGTAAGAAACTAAGCAACAAGTTAAAAATACAGTAATGTACAACTCAACAATTTAATCCTCAGCATGGGGAAATAAAGCAGAGAACTGAATAATTTAAGGAGATGCAGATGGGTCCTCTTCACTCACAAATTTCTGTGCAATCTATACTCTGGAAAATACATTTCTGGTCACAGCTGGGTATCTTCCCAATTCAATCTCACCTGCACAAGAAGCACATAATTGGAATTAGATGTTGTTCATACGAATGCTGACCTCACAAGCTTAGCATTTTATTGCATTCACAATTCAGAGAATGAGGGAGAAAAACAAATACTTTCATCAGTCATTTATCCCCTAGCTCTAGTTTAATCCACAGCAAGGACTACATTAATGTGAGCACTGCACTATAAGTAGTGAAACACCAATTTAAAGATACAAATAAGAAACAAGTAGTTACTTGTGAAGGTAAAAACTCTTTTAGAAGTACAACCCCCTCAAAATGTAACTGCCTCTAAATTAGGCAAGAAATAAATGCAGACAATCAATGTACATCAGAAAGAACATTACAGAAGGTTAAACAAAACAAGAACACAGCATCAGATTCCACAACTGTCCTCAGTAGTGAACTTCATCTACCAAGACTGCTATATTTTTTCCCTCAAAAGTAACATTGGAAAAAAAAAAAAAAAAAAGGTATCCATCCACAGTCAGACAATAATGGCTATGAAGGACAAAGTGTTAAAAAGATTCCACAAATTCCTTCCACAGAGTGCTCATATTTTCAGCTTGGAAGCTATTCACAGAAGCATCTTCTATTATTTCAGGATGAAAAAATAAAATTAAATGGTACTAAGAAGCAATGGCCTGAACCCCTCCTTTCTACCAACACCCTCCAGAGAGCACATGGCATCAGCATGAGCTTTGTTACCCAAAACCTCTCCCCACATCTGCCCTCAGCTTCAGTGGCTGAACGAGCAATGGCTCTGAATGAAACTCCTGAGACTTGTCCCAGTAACCCCCCATTTGTTCTTTACAGCCACAATCCACGTGTGGAGACTTTTTCAGATGACATTTCTAGATGACCAAAAGATTTCAGAATTCAAATTTTGTTTGTTTAGTTGGACCCTCATCCAAACACTCCTCTAAGTACTATACAAGACATCCTATGATCCTTTGGCTTCCTGGAAAAGAATTCCCAACAGCAAACCATTCACTTTTCAGATATGGTCTGTTTTAGTTAGAGGCAAACAGACTATGACACAGCCCCAGGCTCTTCTTTCTCAGACATCTAAAGTGAGTACAGCCACTACAAGGAGCAATGTTAAACTTGAGAGTCCACAGCCAATCAATCTCTCCAATAAGTTTTGCCACATAATATAACCTTCAGCATTCTCAAAAACAATACCCATATAATTAAATTTCAAAAGCAACAAGATTGGGAGGGACCTGTGAGGACTGTCCAGTCCAACACCATGCTCAAACAGTAGAGCTAACTAATTAACTAGAGCAGGTTGCTCAGGACCACGGCCAAGTTAGTTTGAGTACCCTACAGCTGGCAGCTCTGCCACCTCTCTGGGCAAACTTACAGTTTTTGACCATCCTCAGAGTAAAAAGACTCGTGCTCCCCCCAGTATCTTTAAATGGAATTCACAACAAATGGTGTTTGTGAAAAGTAGCATCACTTTCTCCAACAGCCAAGACAGTCATGAAAACAAGATAAAACTTCAGCCCCATCAATCCTTCTTCAAAATCTGAGACAAAGGAGGAATTGTGTGTTTAAAAATGTTGTCCTTCCCCACTCTGTAGCAGTATCAGTTTGTCTGGTGCAAAGGAAAACTTTGCCTGCCTTACATGTAGTTCAGCAGTTAGACCAGTATTACTTTGTGAAAGCAAACCATCTCAAACCATGAAAAATGTGACTGAATTGAAAAAAAAAAATATTGGTTCTACTTCATTTCTGCTTGTGTTCATTTTGAGTGTTCATAGAACCTACAAACTTTTCAGAGACAATTTATCAGTTCTAAACAGAGAACAAAAAGAATTATAAAGCACTTGGACAATTTTTGAACAGAGAGAGTATTAATATTTAATATTAAGAATATTTAATATTTGTTGAGTACTCTCAGTTATTTCAATGTTTACCCAAGATATACATACTTTTAATGTATAATTGTCTACTGATTCCTGTAGAAAGCTCAGTAGCAGTGCATGACAGGTAGGTCAGGTGAACTAAATTAAGTTTAAATTAAGTTCAAGTAAGAACTTGAGCATCTTTACAATCTCTGTGCTGATGATGGGGAAAGGTTTTTCTCCCCTGGGTTAGACTTTTTAAAAAACACCCACCCATTTTTAAAGAACAACCATCCCAAAAAATACCCCCAAAACAAACAAAGAAAACCACAAACAAACAAAACAGAACCAAAAAAAAACCACAAGAACCCCCAAAAAACAGAAACAAAAACCAACCCACCCCTAGGTAATTTCATCCCTTTTAAACACAGGCTGGTTGGTTTGTGTATCCTTTACCAGTCAAAAGGAGCCACAGCAAATACTAAGAGTAATCATAATTTTTACCTTGACTGGAACAATCTTCATTATCTGTGCTTGTCTGAAGATTTATGAGTAGATCCAGCGTTAAGGACAAAAAATACAATTTGACTACATATAACAAAAGCAAGTTCATTTTCTGTATTTTTTTTTTCCTCAAATGTTGACATGTAAAAGGATATTGTTTCTTT